TACTGCCAGGGTCCTTTCCTATCCCTGTATATTCTCTTCTGATCTCAGACACAGGTAGAGTGAAGAGTTTCATGAAATCTTCTACTCCCTTTGCACAGACAGTATCAAGTCTTAGTAACATGCATTTCTTTCATGCTCTACTTGGGTTTCTTCAAAGTCAGAAGAAAGAAAACAGAGGCACCTCCCTGCCCCCAGTCATTCTGCCCTAGCAGTTAGGGGGCTCCAGGAACCTGACACACATCAATCCAGCTTCACCCAAAGGGAGGCAGAAGCCAAAGGATAAATGTTTTTTTGCTGTTGATCACAGTCTCGGTGGACTATTCCAAGAGTCATTCTAGTCATTTCTAAAAAGACCCTGAAAGATTGAGTCCTTGCTACCAACAATACAATCAACTGGAAAAATATGACCCGTTAGGAGTCTTTCTCTTACTTTTTTGCTGCCTGTCTCAGTTGCGCATATCCGCTCCTGGGATCCACTGCTTGGGTGTGAACCCAAGTTATTGACTTTAGCACACGTTGGATAAGAGAGGGGATTGAGCTAAGACTAATGGCACAAAGGCTGTTGAACACTGCCTGTGTATTGCTCCCAGTTTGATTCAAATTGAGACGTAGAACAGCATGGGGTGCAGCCCACAATTCCTTAACCCAGTCACTCTTGACCTGCAATCACTGTGATTCTCTTTGCACATGGTGAGATGTACGGCTCCCCAAAACCTCAGCTATGGCAGGAGGGGTCCATGGTACATATGCCAACAGAGAGCAAAATGTCTGAACTAGGAGTGATTTAAGTTTCATCTGTTCTCTTGGTTGAAAATCCAGATTCAAAAGCTATAGTTTTAGGTACATTTTTGTCTGTGTATATATTTCACCTTTTAAATTAGGTGGCCTAATTTTTGCATTTCTAGTTTATTATCTATTTCTTTGATCATCCATATCAACAGAATTGCATGCTTCCCATCCTCAAGCACGTCTTCATGACACTGAGTTTTAATGAATCTCTAGTAGGTGATTGCACCCAATAGGCCACATATTCCATGTCAGCAGAAATTTGCTTGAATCTATCAAATTGTTGGTTCCCAAGACCAGTTTCAGACACATCTTGATATGTTTTTAAATTTTCCAAACACTTGAATGCAAACACTTGAAAATAAGAAGATGAACACTATGTTTGAATGCCAGAACACAAATTTATTAAGTTAAATTTTTCATTTTCCAGTGATTTTCAATGACAATCGAATAACATACACTATCTCAATCCTATAGCTGTTCAGAATTGACTTTGGGTTACACATTCATGCCAGAGACTTCCGAAAGTTGAAGATCAAGAAATAGATGATTTAAGAATAAAGGCAGTGATTCGTGGGGCTAACCATGACGGCCATGTCAGTAGAGACCGTGACCATAACAGGCCAAAGCAATCTAGCATCTTAGCAAGTTGACTGATAGAAGCTGGTGCCACAGGTTGGCTTGTAGCACGATGACTGGCAGCTCCTGGAGGAGAAGTGGGTTGGGTAGTAGAAACTGGAGCCATAGCTCAGGGAAGGAAAACCACAGCCCCCATAACCCAGGGACCTGAAACCATAGGACCCAAAGAACGGCGAGTAAAAACCTCTGGATCCACAGCCCAGGGAATAATAGCTTCTGGGGCCACAGCCCAGGGAATAATAGCTTCTGGGGCCACAGCCCAGGGAATAATAGCTTCTGGGGCCACAGCTCAGAGAGCAGCTGCTGCTGGACCCACAGCTCAGCGACCTAGTGTAAGGCGTCTGGCAAGGACTGCAGAGCGTGGAGGTCCTGGGGCGGGAGCAGGACGTCAGGCAGGGTCTGGACACCACGCAGGAGCTCTGGCAGCTGGAGGGCTCACAGCAGGTCTCCTGGCAGCCGCTGGAGAGAGAGGTGCCCAGCTGGTAGGTGCGGGGAGAGCAGAGGTCAGTGGTGTAGACCAGGTTGCTGGGGTAGGAAGAGCCACAGGAGGAGACTGGGTAGCTCAGGTAGCCTCCCAGAGAGCGGGAGGAGAAGTTTCCAGAGCAGCAGCTGTAGGACATGTTGACAGGAGATGTGAGTTCAGCTGAGTTACAGTGAGAAGATGCAAGTGTGAATGTCTATCTTGGACTGTGGCTCATCTATATATACCCCGAGCAGTGGGTGGGGCTCACTATGGAGACATGGTCCCCACCTTGGATTTCCTACCTTTTGCTTACGTGTAACTCAATAATCCCTGTAATTGCAGTTGCATTCGAATAGTTTTGCACATATTGTGTTTATGGGTGCTATAATCTTGTTGTCACAGCCAAAGCCAATGAACTACACCTATGGCAGATATGCTATGACTGTTTTCCATTAACTGGCCCATCATGGCCAGGAAAGCGCTTCCTCTGACTTATGCTACCTGCATGTGCTACCTGTGTCCACCTCTGGTTTGCTGGTGGCTGCTTTTCTTCTAAGAGTTGGAAATGAGAGAACATCAACTTTCTTCTGGTACAGAGAATTCCCGCCTGGTTGGGAGTCTTCCAGGGAGAAGTCTTCCTCCTCATTACTACACTTTGCTGCTCTGTTAAATCACTTGGTGGTGATTTGTTAGGACAGCAATAGAAAACATATCTCTCTTCATACCTACACTTATCAATATCCGAGTACTGTTCCTCTTTAGAAGTCTGTAACTTTTCAGTGCTTAAATTTTGAATGGCTCTCTGACATTTGGAAAACAGGTTACCTCACTACATTCTTCCACCTAAATGCAAAACTTTTCCAATTCTTCTTCTCTCACTGTTTACATGGATCACTCTCACTCTTTTTCTCTCTTTCTCTTATAAATTGATAAATGTATAATATTCTTAGAGTATAACCAATTGAATTCTAGGTTCATTTACACAATATTTGTTGTTAAAATACAACCAGTTCAACTCTATTATGGATCCAGCAAATACACTGTCCTGGCTGATGACAACATTTTCTAGTTATAGTTTCTAATAAAACTATAATATAATGGAGACCTGCTTGGAGAAAGAGCACTGTGGAGAGAAGAAAATGCATCCAATTCAAGTAACTATTAGTGAGTCCCTAATTTTTGTTCTTCAGGGTCAGAATTAATTTCTCCTTATATTGTCAGTCTTCACCAAGTGAGAAAAGTGAACACAATTCCTCCTTCCCCACTATGTTTTTTTTATGCTTCCAAGCACAACTCTTAAAGTTAATCTTGATGTAGTGAAAAGGTTTCAATATTTCATTATATAGGATAAATAAGTTCTGGAGACTTAGTGAACAGTAGGGTAAGTACAGTTAATAACTTGAAACGGGCTCAGAGAGGCTTTTGTATGTGTTTTTCACCACCAAAAGTTAACCATTTGAAATGATGGATAGGTAATTAGTTTGATTTTGGTAATCATTTCACAAGAAGTACCTGCATCCAAACCTTATGTTATACATTGTAAACACTAAAACTGCATAAAATAAGATAATCGAAGACAAAAGTTATGAATTAAATAGGATGTACAGACGTAGTGGATAAAATGGGGAAATTTAGTCAAGTTTGTCAAGTTATTGTAGACTCTCTTCCAAGATCATTCTCTGACAAGTAGTCATTTTCTCTGTGCCTCTTAATATCTAAACATTCATCTACACTAAATTAATATAAACTTAAGAACTTATCAATCCCAATTTTGAACTAAGTTAAGGCTAGAGGTTTTACATTGCCTTTCTATACAGCATATGGCGGGAGTGAGGGGAACAGGACCCAGTCGTCTAGGGTGGACTGTGGTTGCTTGGGAGGTGGGTGTCATGAGGAGGTCTAAGCCTGTAACCCTAAATCATATACAGTGTTATAAATCAATGTTACCTCAATAAAATGATATTATGGAAAAATAACAAAACTGGTCTATAAAATATTAAGTACTTAGCATACTAATGAAAAGGTAAAAGTAAATAATAAACAGTTATTTATCAATCCTTAGAAATTGACAGAATCCTCTGCTCATAGTGGCCAGATGAGCCCCACATGTCCCAGGAATAAGCCCCACTAATATCACTGCTATGTTCTGTCAGGCTTAGCAGCAGCCCATGAAAAGCAAGACTTCCACACCACTGCAGAGCTAGACTTCAGACAGAAACATGTAGAACCTTTGGTCAGTGCAGCCTCCTAGAGTTGAAGATCTGAGAAACAAATTGTCAGAGTTGTCATGTAAGAGGGATGGGGATCTATTCATAAACAAGCCCCGTTACTTTGATTGTCAATCCCAATTGCTTCCCCCACCCCCTCATTTCAGTATTGGGCTTAGCTCTTGCATTCTTTTCAGAAGAGGTTGAACTGGTCTCCACTGGACCAGTGTTGTAAACCAAGGTTAGTAGATTCTCTCTGCTCTTCTCTCGCTATCTCCAAATCATTGTCTGAGATTCTCTCTGGTTCAAGTTACCAACATTATTTAATTTACCTTGGCTCATATTTTTTCCTCTCCATTGGATCTTAGACTTACTATGTAATAGAATGCAACAGATGGACAATGATTTTGGAGAATGACATAAGATGATGTCGAGTAAGGTCACTCTTTAGAAGGATCCTCACTAAGATCCATTGACCAAGAAGGAAATATAATTTCATCTCATTTCTTCACATTTGAAAAAAGTCATTAACCCATCACGGCCAGAAACAAGACACACAAAATTTAGGAGGAAGGAACAGGAGTGGCTTTCCTGGATGCCATGGGATAAGCGGTAGCGTGAAATCGTCATAGCATTTCTGATATAGGAGTAATCCCTTGGCTTTGTAGTGCAACACTAACATTTTAGTGCCCTGTAAATAGAATACATGCACAACTATGCAACAGCAATTACAGAGACGATTGCTGAGTTACACATGTGTTAATGAGGGGGCAGAATATGACAAGATGACCCTGCAGACAGCCACACCTACTGTCTAGAGTATATATATGCAGCTGTCCAGAAGGTGGACTTATAACTCAGAATCTTCTCATTGAACTTCACCTCTACTCACATCTCCTATCAACATGTCCTACAGCTGCTGCTCTGGAAACTTCTCCTCCCGCTCCCTGGGAGGCTACCTGAGCTACCCAGTCTCCTCCTGTGGCTCTTCCTACCCCAGCAACCTGGTCTACACCACTGACCTCTGCTCTCCCCGCACCTACCAGCTGGGCACCTCTCTCTCCAGCGGCTGCCAGGAGACCTGCTGTGAGCCCTCCAGCTGCCAGAGCTCCTGCGTGGTGTCCAGACCCTGCCTGACGTCCTGCTCCCGCCCCAGGACCTCCACGCTCTGCAGTCCTTGCCAGACGCCTTACACTAGGTCGCTGAGCTGTGGGTCCAGCAGCAGCTGCTCTCTGAGCTGTGGCCCCAGAAGCTATTATTCCCTGGGCTGTGGCCCCAGAAGCTATTATTCCCTGGGCTGTGGATCCAGAGGTTTTTACTCGCCGTTCTTTGGGTCCTATGGCTTCAGGTCCCTGGGTTATGGGGGTTGTGGTTTTCCTTCCCTGAGCTATGGCTCCAGTTTCTACTATCCAACCCACTTCTCCTCCAGGAGCTGCCAGTCATCATGCTACAAGCCAACCTGTGGCTCCAGCTTCTATCAGTCAACTTGCTAAGATGCTAGATTGCTTTGGCCTGTTATGGTCACGGTCTCTACTGGCACGGCCGTCATGATTAGCCCCACGAATCACTGCCTTTATTCTTAAATCATCTATTTCTTGATCTTGTTATTGGGTTGTCATTAAAGATCACTGGAAAATGAAAATTTTAATTTAATAAACTTATTTTCTGGCATTCAAACATAGTGTTCCTTTCTTATTTTGCTCTTTCTGTGAATCCAGAAGTTGCTACTCATGGGACTGTGGATTCTATGGCTTCAGATCCTTGCTTTATGGAAAATGTTGTTTCCCTTCTCTCAGCAATAGATCCAACTTCTGCTACCCCAGAAGTATCTGTTCGTCTTGTTACCAGTCCAATAAGTAATCTTGGTACTACTGCTTAATTTGTAGAAAGGCCAGATTCATTTGAGATATGCAGATTCTGTGTTCCACAGCAGAAAATTAAGGCTCTGTATTAGCTTCAGTCCTTCATTGAAAACATTACATTTCCTCATTTCTGGTAACTCTTTACCACTTCAGCCTTCAGTCTTAGACTGAGAGTTTATCTCTGTCAAGCTAAAAACTTAATGAGTAGTTAAAATTGCATTAATGATATGATTTATAGTGTTGCATTTCCCTCAAAATAGATGGGAAGTCAATGATTTAAATTTAATGAATTTCTCATTCTGCTACTTAATATGCTGTTAATATTTTTATTTATAATACCTGACATCTAGGATTGCTTTTGTCATTTTTCTGTTTATGGGCTTGTAATTTGCAAATTTGGGGTTGATACTCTACTTTTCTGGGGTTAGATATTTTCTCCACCTTAGGCAGGGTTTCCAAGGTGCCCACGGATTCTATGTGTAGTGTTTCTCTTAGTGACAATCCCAAGTGGTTTGAACATTCTGGCCCTCACAAAATGAACCTGCATCTTTAACGGCTTTTTATTTATCAAAGCATTTTGATGAGTATAGAAATGAAATTTAGATCTGGTTGATGAGACCTGTGCATAAAGGATATTAAATTGGAAAAGTAGTGTGTGGAGTGAATTTGTAGAAAAAGAGCACCTATGAGCTTTAATCACAGCACAGGAAATAGCTTATATTTTGTTAAATTGACAAAATCCTTTAGGTCAATTGATATTTTCAATCTGTTCAAATTATCTCCATTTCTATAAGGAGACAAGTAACAATATTAGATAAGGTGGTACTAAGGTCAGCAGTGAATTTGTACTGGGGTTCCTTGTCAACCTATAATCTGAATCTGATTGAGAAAAAAAAATTGTTATATCACCAAAATGTTTTTTTTTTTCCAGTTGTCTTTTGCAATATAATTGGCTATTTATCTATACCACTTCTCTCTTACACCTGACACAAAATGGTAAGGTACTAACAGAGATAGTATGACAATAACCAGAGACGTGATCACTATATTTAACAAGCAGTGCTCGAATATTTTTCCTCTTCTTTATGAGAGCCTTCAACGTCCCTAAAATTTGGCAATGGAATGCAGAGTCAGAGACTTGGCAAAACACCCAGACTTACTTATATCTCAGTCATCTCATCATGCTCCCTTTACTTCATCTTTTGCTATGAAACTATAAAATATAAAAGGCTTTGTAGAGTTCATCAGCATCAACTTGATCTCTATAGAGGTAGAAATTGAAATATAAAGAGAATTCAATGGAATTTTACAAGATGTCATGAGTTACTATAGCATGATGGAATGAGACTTTATTTCAACCACCTGCACACTCTCTCTCATTCCTGCTCTTCCTCATGTGCTCCCACTGTTGGAAGGGCATGTTTAAATTTATAAAATTGGAAAAAAGTTACCCATTATAATAAGGTGGTAAATAGTAAACTACTTTACAGTCTGCTCATGAATTTTGATGATCCAAATTGGTTTCATGCCTGTAATGTCCAACTAAGAGAAATAATCCAATTCCATCCCCCAAACATAAGCAAAGTTAGCACAGTGCCGGGAAACAGCTGTAGCTTTTTGGCCAAGCTGAAAACGCCTCTGTTGATGTTTCCAGGTTGCAGATGCAAGAATGGTTCTCTGACTTCCAGCATCTACTAGTCTCTTCGTGTTTTGCTATTATCTATTATCATAACAACTTGCATCTGCATTATTAACTTAATGCAAATCTGCTATCCCACAGTTCTTTGGGTCAGATGCTCTCACCTGGCTAAAAGCAATGTGCTGTCAGGGCTGCCTTCCTCTCCAGAGGCTGTAAGTCGATTTTTCTGCCTTGCTCCCACTCCAAATTATGGTTTTTGAGGTAATGTTGATTTACATCTTTGTGTCTGCTCCAGGATTTATAGATTCAAGTCTTTACAAATACATACTTTCACATCCTGTCTACCACTGACACTTCAACAACCCTGCAAGGACCCCTTCCTTTCCTGTCTCTCGCCCCACATCCTCCCCCATCTGGTTGCTCAATAATGCAGTCAGGTGTTAAGAATTTTTTGTTTGGTTTTGATTGAGTGTTATGTTTGCCTGTATTCCACAAATAAGATCATCCTGTACTTAGCTTTCTCCTCACTTATTTTACTTAGCATTTTCCTCTTCAGTTCATCTGTGCTGTAAACAGCAATTGACCCTTTTTTATTGCTGAGTATTGCTCCATTTTATATATGTGTGATACATCTTATCATATAAATATCATAGATTTCTATCACATTGTTTGATGCACTCCTCTGTCCTTGGGTATTTAAGCTGTTTTAGGTTCTACAAGTCACCTGTGTTCCTTAGTTCATGCTTCTATTCCATTCTTTCATCCTCAAGGACAGATTTATGGGTTAAATTGTCCTGATACTGCATTTCTTTGACCCATTCTACTGTCTCTCTTCCATGTTTAAGGATGTTTATGTTTATATTGGATCCATCTGGTACTTTCCTTTATTAAGTTCAACTGATTAACTTCAATCCACCTGCTACCTTAATTAACCTTTACCACATAAGGTAATATATTCATACCTTTCATAGATTAGGATATGGATAGCATTTAGGAGCTTTTATTTTGCCTAACCAAATGAGTAAACAAGTAAATTTCTAAAAAAAAAAAATCAAAGATTGATTGGCTGTAAATAGATAGCAGTATGATGAAATGCTCATAAACAAATAGTAAAATTCAACAGTGGGAACAACAGACTTTTACTGCTATAATTTTGCTTGGAATTATATTTAAAATCCAATCAGGATGATAGATAAGAAAACTTTATTATTTTACAACAAGAGCTAATTTAACACTTGAGCTGATGTCTTACCACTACCACCCAATAAATTGCTTGGGTGGAAAAGTCTAGAGATTTTCCAAGTCTTTAGAACAATCTAAATTTCCAAGAATATAGACTTTTTCTTTCTTTTGTTCAACAATATGTAGTGAAATGTGGTCTTCAAATTTCTCCATGATCATTCCACTCTGAAAAACTGGTGAGGGTTCAGTGGGCACGAATATGACTCACAGCTAGTTGCTTCTAGTCTTCCTTTCCCCAGATGCATACTTTGACAGGTACATAACACTGTGAATTCAAAACCAGGGGTTTAACTCCCAAGCACCTGCTGCCCATATAAGAAGAATTCCAGAAGGTGCTGATCATTTGTCTCCAAGTAAGTTTCCAGTTTTGATTTCCAGGAGAAAAATCTATCTTGTGTCATAGAAAATTACTTCATGAGTCATTTCTCAGCACTCGATAACAATATCTATTAATCATCTCATTAGTGATAAGAGAGAAGCTTTATCCTCCCAGCCCATCCTCCCATTTTTTATTACTCATGCTTCAGAATATATTTTCAAACACTTTGTCAATACTATTATTTAACACAATATTTTCACACACTCGACTTTCATTATAAGCCAGAACCTGTGCTATGAAAAATTTTGGTAAATATATTTTTTAAAAATAGTAAGGTATTGAGAAACCCCCAATCTCTTTTTCATGGGGCCTGACCAATCTCCATCCCACCAATAGTGCACAAGGGCCCTTCACCACATGCTCAGCCACAACTGCCATCTGATCTTTCTGACATGTGCCTTCCTCACAGGTTAGAGCTGGCATCTCACTGAGATTTTGAATTGCATTTCCCTGATGATAAGTGAAGGTGAGTATTTTTTTTTTTCAAGTGTTGGTTATCTGTAGATTTTCTTTGGAGAAGTGTCTGTTTAACTCTTATCCCATTTTTTGATTGATGGTTGAGTTTTGTGATGGTTGTGATGGTTGTGTTGTGATGGTTGAGCTTTATGAGTTCTTTTAGATCATGGGTATCAGCCCCTTGTCAGATGTATGACATACAATGTTAGTTTCGCTTTCAGGAGGGTGGACTTTTGTCTTAATAGCTCTATTCACTGTGCAGAAGATATTAATCTGATGTAGTCTCATTTAGTTATTTCTGTTTTTCTTTTTCCTTGCTGTGTAAGTACTTAAGTACTTAACAGCAGGTCTTGAAGTCCAAGACATCCCAAAAGCCAATGTTGTGAAGTGTACGGTCTTTGTTTCTTCCATGTATTTTATGACTTTAGGTCTTACATCCATGTCTGTTATCATTTTGAGTTAATTTTTGTGTATGACATAATCGAGCGGTCTAGTTTCATTCTTTAATAGGTGGCTAGCCATTTTCCCAGCGCTATTTTTTTTTTAACACGCTTTCTATTCTGCAATGGGTTCTTTGTCATTAGTTAACTGTCCACAAAAATGTGGGTTTAAAATAGATGTATCATACGGTCCAGTAATTTCACGTCTAGGTATCTATCCAAGAATCCAGAAGCACTAATTTGAAGGAACACATGCACCTTATTTCATTGTAGCACTATCCACAACAGCCAAGTTATAGCAACAACCCAAGTGCCCAATATCAGGTGAGTGGATTATATGTGCAATGGAATTCTACTCATCCATATTAAAGAACAACAACAACAAAATGATCTACCATCATTCAAGACAACAAAGATAGAACCAGAGGAAATTATGCAAAGTGGAATAAGTGAGAAAGAGTAAGACAAAATATAG